CAAATAGAAGATTTATTTATCAATTTATAGATTTTGTAACTGAATGACCCTTACCAGTTCTTCTATGTAATTTGCCATTGTAAATCTGTAGATGGTCAATATGTGTAGCTAGACGTAGGGTCAAGTATTTGCAGGGATGTTAGGATATCATTTGATTACTTTTTCTTTCTCGTCGTTGATAACTTTTACAGTATTGTAAAAGTATTGATTCTCACTCCAGGCTATGTTGGACGCCTGGAATAATGATATCTATACATCAATGGATATTTAATTCCTAGTTTCAACCAATGCTATCTATCTGCAGGCTGCGAAAGAGGAGATTGGTAACCAGCCCAAGAAGAGAGGGGGAGTCCCGAAGGAAGGGATTGCTAGATGTACCTTCGAGGACAAGATTCGGATGAGTGATGTAGTTTTCTTGCGTGCATGGACTAAAGTTGAAATTCCTCAATTCTACAACCCGCTGACTACAGCATTGCAACCTCGTGGTCGAATATGGCAAGGGATGAAAACTGTGGCTGAACTCAGGAAAGAACATAATCTTCCCATTCCTGTGAACAAGGATTCAGTGTACAAGCCAATCGAAAGGCAGAAACGGAAGTTCAATCCATTGGTGATTCCCAAATCATTACAAGCAGCCTTGCCATTCAAATCAAAACCGAAGGATAAACCTAGTCAACAGAGGCCACTTCTTGAAAAGCGAAGAGCTGTGGTGATGGAGCCTCGTGAACGGAAAGTTCATGCACTTGTTCAGCAGCTTCAACTTATGAGACATGAGAAAGTAATGCATTTTTTTTTTTTGGTTTTCCTTCTCTTAGAATATAATATAATAAGCTAACTTCTAATCCATATTTTGTATCTCAATTTTGTCCATATAGATGAAGAAACGAAAGCTTAAAGAAGAGAAGAAAAGAAAAGAGCTTGAAGCGGAGAATGCCAAAAACGAGCAGCTGTCTAAAAAGCGGCAAAGAGAAGAACGGCGAGAGAGGTATAGAAAAGAAGATAAAATGAGAAAGAAAATTAGAAGAAGTGGATGAGGATTATGGAGATTCACCCAATAGTGTTTCTTCAAATATATTGGGATGAGTTTCTACATGTATTCTTAGAGCATCTTTTTAGTTCATGAAAATTTTGTATAATCTTTTTAGTTGGGGAGAGTAGCAATATTTACATTCTATTTATTCTTCATGCCCTTTTTTATACCTCTCAAGTTGATCACATGAAAAATATTCCATTTTTGAAATTGAACAATTGAACGATTGAACGAAGAGAATATGGATATTCGTGAATCAAAGTGGAAATGAAATTTACCCTAACTAATGTAAAATAAAGGGATGTTCAGTTTTTTCAGACAAACAAAGAACACAAGGGAAACTTCTATAGATATATATATGAATGAACATCAATATCATATAAGTGAGGATTTATGTATGATTTTCACAGCAAATAATAACAACTATACACTTTACTACTCTTTTGCCCCTCCCCTCAACTGGACAGCCCACCACCCTATAATTTTGCTAAGAAAAATTGCAGAATCTGAGGCCTCATCATAAACAACTGAATGCCCAAACCCATGCCACTCATCTATTCACACTATAATGAATTTGCAAGTGTAATGATGAAGAAAGACAGATCGTCCTCCTGCGATCCACATTTTCCCTGTATATATATTGACACTAAACCAAAACCGAGCATTTTCTTCACCGTTCGTCTTAGAAGAAGCACGAACTAGGGGAAGTTCTGCTGCAGGCACCAATGATCTGGGACACTCAAGAAATGTGCAGACATGAACTTTCTGAATCTTCTCTTGTATTCTTTTGGAGAAATGACAGTGGGCAGTACATTTTTCGGGACGAGGGAGGATTTTACCCATGTCTCTAATTGCTTGTCCCAGGTGTATTGTCTAAGATAATCGATTATCCCACATACAAATTCCTTCTTTTCGGCATCAACCCCAACAAGCAGAGAATAATCCATAACATTTATCGACTGCACACGTTATGCTAAAAACTGTCAGAAAAAGAAAAGTATCTTCCAAATGCATTCATGAGATTAAATCAAATGCAACAGTAGTCTCTATATAAAACTAAAGCACCTACCTGCTTCAGATCATTTACAAAATCCCTTTCTTGTTTCTTTTATTGTGACACTTCTATTTTTATTCCCCTTTTCACACCCATACCTACCAATGGTCTCTAAAGTTTAAACAAAAACTCATGTAAAGAAATTTTGTTACTCCCAAAAGATGATCCAAATGTACAGAATACAAGCCTTTAAATGATCTCAATAGCAGGTCATTAACAGGCTAGTCGTCCTAAGCCCATTGATTAATAAGCTCAAATAAAGATTTATAAATTAAAAAGAGAAATAAAATTATGTTAAAACTCCCTTATCTAAAATATCACCTCCACCAAATAACTATGATATCTATGATAATTTAAGATTTATATTCCATTTTAGTTCCTGAAATTTTATTTGCACTTTTAAGAGTGATAAGAAACATTCGATTGATGTGATAAAACTACAAAAAAGGAGGGAAATGAACTTCAATGAATTAATTTGTACTCACATTGAGAAAAGCAGTGTCGTTCCAAATTGCCCGTTGCATCCGACGCTTTGCTCGGTTACTCACATAGATGGGAGACGAGTTCATGTCCTTTACAAAGTTCTGATCTAAGAGGACTTCGCCAAAATTGTTGGCAGCCGGATTGTATCGAGCATGTAGAGCTCCTTTAAGATCATATTGGCGAATTATGTTGCGGCCAAAGCTGAGGTTCTCCATAACCATCACATCATGTCTCATCTCTTTCCCGCTCTTTGGCTCTCTCACTGCTACCTGTAAAAGAAACGTAAAGATAACATGACGGACAACTGAGGGTGGGGGTGCTATAAAATGAGAAAGAGATGAATGTTATAGCGATCAAACCTGATAGATTCCAAGAACTTTGGCAAGGCAGGTCTGGTTCCCCATGTCAAATGATTGCTTAATGTACTTGAAATACTCAGGAGCAAACTTCATAAATGAATCATACTCCGTCCTCTTAATTTCTTTGATAATGAACCTGTCATCAAGTGTCTTGGCAAAGAAAGAATTGCTCTTCCCGCCTTTTGCATTCCATTTTATACAACGGCTTAGGGAAGCTATGTAATGGAGCTCAGATGGGCAGCATTGACTTCGAAGATCACGGAACTGATTGAAATATGGACAATTCACAACATACTTTCCATTTGCTAGTGACTTTATGACCCCTTCATGATCTGTCCGCTTGAAAGTCTCTGGAACGAGAGAATCCAACAAATTTAACCTCTCAAAATTTGAGAACTGGTATGCGTCTGATGCGGCACTCGAGTCTGAATCGGAGGATCCATTTGAGGGAACTTTATTTAGGCTCTGTGAACTCAAATTTGGTTGTGAAACACCTCCCCCCTCTCCCTTACTATCCTCATTATGAGAATCCGTTTGAAGGGATAGATCTTCCAACAAAGCGAGTACACAAGCAACTATGCTCGAGAGTTCACCCTCATAGTCCGAAACAATAAAATTATCTTTTGCAAGACGAATGTGTAGCTTCTGTCCTTCTTCGTTGGTGAAGGCAGAGGCTGCAGGTATGAGTTTGGGAGTATAGCTACTGAAGGATTTGAGTTCAGGAAAAAAACTCCTCTGGATGTCCCTTATGTGCATCTGCCGGATCTCCACACATGGTGCCCACAACAATTTGCCCAAGCTTGAATCAGCTGTCAGAACCGGAATGGTCCTATCTACATGCATATCACCAGATGACGCAACCCTTACTTGAGAATCCTCATCATCCAAATGATGCTGGTTGAAGCCATTGGACAAAGACCCTTGGCGAGAAAGATGTTTCGGGCTCAGATCATCCATAATTCGTATCTCCGTGACTTCAGTCACTGAAGGTGAATGATTTTCATCACAACCGGACTCTCCATCTAAACCTTCGACTGCAATTTCTTTCATAGGCAATACATTTTCATCCCATGATATATCTTGCTGAACTTCTGTATCATCATTTGCTGCAATGGATTCTGATTCCTCATGTCTGGCATCAATGTTGCTATTCATATTCATCGTAACCGATTCTGGCTCAACATTTTCAGAGGTGCCAGGGGTACTTGTAAGACCCAGTGATGTTAATGACTGCAGACGTCTATCCCAAATACATGATTCTAGCAGCAGCTCCCAGAGTAACTGATTCAGACTGAGATATTTGTGAAAAGCAAGAGAATTTTGAATCTTTACCTGCATTTCATTCAATTAGACAGGAGAAAGTCTGGCTTAGGAAAATGATGATCGATAAAAATAAGAGACGCACTTCGCCATAAGCAAAAAAGGGAGGGATTCAAAAAAAGCATCGTTAAAGTTCCAAAGAATTCCACAGCACAGAAGATAATGACAAGAAGATGACCTCGAATTCTGATCTTTCTTGGTTTAACATTTCTTCAATGGAAGAAAAGTCATTGAGAAAGCATTGCGGTTTTACATTTGAACTTCTGCATTCAGAGCTTATCTTCTTCAGAGAGTGCGCAATCTCAGTGAAAAGAAGCTTCCCTTTCTTCTTAACCTTAACAGATGCAATAAAATAACACACTTCACAATTGAGTAGCATGGGCGATTAGAAGAAGCCAATTGGAACCGTCAGAAAGCAGTGAAAGATACATAGATAAGATGACATACATTTTCAGTTTCTCTGATGAGATGACCTTGTCTCATTGAACTGTTGAAATCCAGTTTCTGAGGAGGCATTGAGACCGTATAAATTGCTGCAGCGGAATATCTGAACATCGCAACCCTATTGCCCAGTCTACAGTTCACAAGTACAATGGCTAAGGACGATTAAGTTTAGGACAAGAAACATGGAAATGCAAGTATAAGTAAATATCCGGAATATGGCTAGACGTACCCGAAGAAGTAGAGGAAGTCCCCAAACAAAGAATGGCCACAACCTGATGATTTACTAGGTAAAGTTTCATCAGAGAAACAAAGCTCCAAAAACTTTCCAAATGACAAGCTGCGTGCGGCCGTGGAAATCAACACCATTTTTGTGGACGTAGAAGGTTCTCCCTTAGATTTACATTTACTGCAACGACTCCACATCCAAAGTTTTCCTTCTGTTTGACCTGGCAAAAGTTTATACCCTGGAAGCTGTTGGACTTGAATGGAAAGCTGCTTTCCATAATGGGCAAAATAGTAAAAGTGGGCTTCCGGAAGTTCACTACAGACAGTGCAGAAGTTTGTCTGCAATTGCACCAATGTCGAGTCAGAATCATCTTAAAACAATGTTGACCTATATCATATGCTTCTTCAGTAAACAAAACCAATGAGTAGAAGAAAATTAGATGGATCATAAGATAGCTTTACCATAAGCTAAAAAAGTATTATTAAACTTTAAGAAATATCCTTAAAAATTATAATTCACTGTGGTCTAATATTCCTGCTATTGATAAGATAGACCAAAGACAGCATTTTTATTATATTAAAAAAACAGTAGGTAAACATTGTCATGACTTACGAACCTGATTTAGTAAGTTTTCTTGTAAAAATTTTCCAAGAGGAACATCAAAATTCCTGTAGAACACGATATGCAAAAAATGGCTCTGCTCACACATGGTTCCCTTCAAAGCATTTCGGCTTGACATCAAAACCAAAATACTCTGAGAATCCAATGACGACTTTTTCTGCATTGTCTCTTCAGAACAGTTAGGAGCATTTTCATGGAATCCAAGGCCTTCCAAGGCTGATTGATGGGATGCAGACTGTTCGTGACCTGAATTCTCTTCATCAGAACTACCCCTAACTTTCACATCAAATCGATTGGCTGCCTGTGGAGTAGATGGAATTGAGTCAGACTTGGGGGCCAAGCCAATCCAGTCTCTTTCATGTCCAAAATAAGAAGACAATGAGTGATGGGTAGAGGATAAAAGGAAACTTTCTCCCATGACTTTCTTAGACGAATCAGAAATGGATGAAAATCCAGAAAGAATGGCAGGATTATAAGGTTCTAGTTCAGAAGGTATTATTGGCTTTTCCACCGGCTTCAGATTTGATCCGTTAGAAGACTCTTCATGGGGTCCACTTGAAATATAAATATCCGTTAGAAGACTCACACATGGTTCACTTTTATCATTTGCCTTCTCAACTTGAAGTATATTTGAGCTACAAGGCTCTAAAGGTGATTGTGGATCTGGTGAAACCATAGTCGATACTCCACCAAATGGAATAGTTGCAAACATTGCTCGTTGATCAACAAGGAAAGAAGTCTCTAATATTAAGTGAAATGCCATAACAACAGCACGCTGCACAACAAGCTTAACCCTCTTCAGTTCACTGCGAGCTCCTTTCAGCAAAATCTGCATCAGATTAAAAATTAAAAAAACATAGTTCATTTGTGCCCAAAAGATAGTCAATTAAATCAATTTTCCAATTAGACTCTAATCTATCATGGGGCAAAGCAATATCAAAGGAAAGAGGCAACACCAGACCCTGTAGATGGTGTGATGAAAAATTAGAACATAAATATGACTGCTACTTTTCGCAGATGTAGGGATTAAACCAATCACCACAGTTCCGGTGAGTGTAGCTCTACAGAAAAAATTATGCAACCAATAACACCTTTGTTCTGGACGGCTGTCTAAAAGAAAAATGGCATGACATGACAGATTCTTACAAAACTGAAACATATGTGGCAATTAATGCTTGTGTCAGTAACAAAAGGAGTATTTCCAACCGCTGTGACTTTGTCTTGAAAAAGCTCAATTCTTCTTTTTTTTTTTTTTAACCTTTACATAATTTCACACTCAAGGAATTGTCTAGAGAAACAAAAATAGGCAGAAAATCTTTTCCTTTTCTTTTACAAAAATGAAACTAGCAATAGATATTGACCCATCTGACTCTACCAGGTTAAATCACTAAAATTTTCAATAAGCTTGATATGAGGTTCAACCATCCAGAGGACACCATCCTCATTTGCACGTGACTGGAAATCAAAGAATGTCTCAAGAGCTACCATATAAGACTGGAGAGGCGAAAAGAGGATGAGACTCGAGGAAGGTAAGTCCCTCATCCTGAGTGTGGAGTGGAAAAAATTGTGTTGAAGGTGAGTAACTCGGTAACCTAGTTGGGTGATTGTAATTCGGCTTATTTCCATAGAGTCGCTAGCAGAAGAAGAAATGTAAACTTCATCAGCTCCATTGAAGAGTCTGGAGGTCTGTTAACCGAGAACCATGAGAATGATGATGAAATTCTTCATTACTTCTCTTTGTATGGGCCGTTAGTTGGTCCTCACCTGCCTGTGGAGGGGGTGGATTGGTGTCCTATCTCTCTCGAGGACAGAGCTTAATTGGAGGCACCTTCTCCTTGGAGGAGGCTTAAAAGGATGGTTTTTGGGTTGGATAGAAACTCAGCCCCAGGTCCTGATGGTTTTTCTTTGGCTTTCTTCCAAGACAATTGTGAGGGTATTATGGAGGATCTTCAAAAAGTCCTTAACGAATTCTACAAGAGATGCCTTCTCAATAATGCTCTCAACGATAACTTTGTTTGCTTAATTCCTAAAAAGGATATGGCAACAAATGTTCAGGACTTTAGACCCATTAGTCTTATTATCCATGTGTATAAGATTATCTCCTCGATCCTTGCTGACTAGTTTAAGAAGGTTCTACCATCAACAATCTCCGACACTCAAGGGACCTTTCTTGCTCGCAAACACATTTCGGACCAAGCTCTAATTGCAAAAGGGGCCATTGAGAATCATAGAGTTTGAATGATAGAAGAGATTATCTTCAAGATTGACTCTGAGAAAGCCTACGATCACGTGGATTAGGTCTTTTTAGATAAGTTGATGGAAAATAAGGGATTTGGGCCTAAATGGAGATTTTGGATAGGGAGTTGTTTCAGGAATGTGAACTATTCAATCTTGCGCAATGGTAAGCGTGGGGAAGGATTTGTGCCTCTAGAGGTCTTATAGACAAGGCGATCCTCTTTCTCCCTTCCTCTTTCTTTTGGTGGTTGACATTTTGAGCAAGATGGTCTCAAAAGGAGTGGAAAGAAATATTTTGTAAGGTTTTCAAACTGGTAAAGACAAGGTTCACTCATCTCACCTTCCAATTTGCAAAGTATACTATCTTCTTTTTCTCGGATAAAGAGTTATTTAACAGTTTAAATTGTACGTTAGTCTTTTTTTAGACTATCTCGAGCCTTAGGATTAACAAAAGAAAATGTCAAATTTTGGGCATTAATTGCAACTACTTCAAGCTTGAGAGGTCGGCAAGCTAACCTTGTGGGTTTTGAAGTTGAGGCTTTACTTTCATCCTACTTGGGTCTTCCTTGAGCCATTCTCCTAAAAGTAGTTCCTTTTGGGACCCTGTCTTTGGGAAGATCTACAAAACCACCTCTCGCTCCTTTTTCCAATGCTTGTCCAATCCTTCCTTCGTGGGTGATTCCATTTTCTCCTTGGTTTGGAAGGTGAAGATTCTAAGGAAAGCGAAATTCTTTGTGTGGCAAGTTTTGCATGGAAGAGTTAACACCTTGGATAGGACCTCGCCTAGAGGTTCTTTAGTGGTTGGGTCTCTTTGTTGTCTTCTTTGCAGGAGGGCAGTAAAGAACCTAAATCATTATCATTTGGAGTTGTAATTTTGCTTAGACGCTCTGGCACAATTTTTTTAGGTGTTCAGCTTCAGCTTTTTTCAGAAGCTTTTTCTTCATCATTCCTTTTGTGATAAAGGGCAACTTTTGTGGCAGGCAGGGGTGTAGGCCATTTTGTGGGGACTTTGAGGTAAGAGAAACAACAGAATCTTCAAAAACGTGCCAGACTTCTTTTGCTGATGTTCGGTACCTTGTTAGATTCTTTGTTTCTCTTGGGGCCTCAGTTTTTAGACTCTTTTGTAAGTATTCGCTTGGTCTTAATTCTCTTGATAAGAACCCCTTTCTTGTAGTCTAACTCCTTTTTTTGGGGTTATCCTTTTTTGTATGCCCGTATATTCTTTCACTTTCTCTCAATGAAAGTCAAGATTTTTCTTTCAAAAAAATGTCTCAAACTCAATGATATAAATATAAGAGATGGGAAATTATATAAATAATATACTAACCGTACAACCCAAACGTGCTGGACAGCCCTCAATAAACATCAAAGTTTTAGTTGACCTCTTTCCTCCCTCCAAACCACCAGAATGTTCTACAACTTTCTGAAAATAAACAGCATCACATTGTCTTGCCTTTTGGCTCGCTAAAGTTTCAGATGTTAAAATTGGTGAACCGGTACAAAGAGCTATTCTCTCCAGACGGTGGAGCTTCATATCAAGCACTAATGTGATGCATCTCTTGAGAATTGCTTCTTGGATAACTCGTGATGCAGTTTTTTCAACGATAATCACATTTGCAGTACAAGTTTCAATCATCTCTATAACATAATTCGTAAAATCATTTTCCTGTGATCAGACAGTAAAATATCAGATGACATACGGGTGTATTTCTCAGGGACCGAATAGTAAAGACTGAACCATTTAAATTTCAGTACCTGATCCATTGAATTAAATGAAGACAGTCCACTAATTGGAGCCTCACCAAGCCTGCCTTGAATCAGTATTAACCTTGGGTTCTTCCAATTTGTTACCATGTGTTTATGAGCTGCATGCTTCTTGAATACCATGCCCTTGACAAATTGACTGCAATAGGAGAAAAACTATTAAGGTTCCCAATGTAAAGTAAAAATCTGGCATATTATGTCTTACTAACATTTAATCGGGAAAGGGAAAGCACACACACACCAAAGGTTTGTGCTCCACTCACTCTAACATCTTTTCTCCAGTCCATACCAACACTTCAAATGAGAAGAATCAAATGAAGGGAAATAAGCTCCTGGACAGGCTTTTGAATCCATTTTTTGTGTTACAAACATAAACTTTTAATTAAAATGAATAAAGAATGAGATTGTTTATAACACCCAGGACGCTAAAGAGAGGCGAAGAGTGATTGCCAGTGTAATAGACAATGCGTAGGCAAAGTTACATAGACAAATTTAGATGATGAACAGGGAATACAACATCACAGATTGGAATGAGAGGGTTTTGATTATGCAAGTACGAGATATTATAGTCTCGAAATGTTTATAAACACTAATAGGTATATATGTTCCCAAATTAAGTCAGCTCCCCTAGATCTTCTTTTGATGTCTTTAGATCACATCCTCCTCCATTGTCCATTTCCTTATAATGGTTGGATGTTATTCTAAATGAGCTAGGGCTATCGTGGTGCCTCTGCCTCCGTAGGAGGAGTGGTTTTTTCAAGCCTTTTCGAGCTATGGTTTAAAGGGTATGGCAAGAATTCTAATAAAGGTCAAGTAAAAAGATTAATACCTCCCTATATTAAGTTTGCAGACACTGCTCAAAACTTTCAGGGTAGTTTTCATGATTACCTTTGGCTGCGAGTGCCACTTGCAATGCATTTTACTTTTACATGAGCTCCTGGGTCCATTGCTTTACCATTTACTAAAGGCTTCAAAAATGTGGCAGCTTCCCAAGACAAAGAACAAACTATATCCGCCCAATTCTCACCGTCCTCCCCTGATGAGGGAACACCTACTAAGTTAAGAAGATGATGTATGAAAGCCTTGTACTTCCCATTCATAACCTCTTGCATTGCCCTTTGTTTTTCCTCCTTAGACCTATGGCTAACACTGGCTTCATCCACAGAGCGACTAAAGGAACTTGACATGCTCCATTCTGTGCTGTCACCAAACTCATCGTCATCATCGTCATCATCGTCGTAATAACCCATCCCGCCCTCCATGTGATCATCTGGGTCCTCTGGTTCTGGAGGATCCCACAGATTGGTATCCATCCAACTAGAATTGGATTTCTCAAATTCCGCATTAACAGGAACACCAAAACCATTGTGTGTTGCCTCTTGATTATTGATTGGCATTACACTTTCATCATCCCTTCCACCGAGTTGAACATTGCTATGAACTACTCCGCTCAAGTTCTGTGACCTCCTTTCTTGCTTATGATCAATATCTTCTTGGCTACTTCCTGTTGAACCTTCTTGACCATTCCTAACAAAATAAAAATGAACACAATGACTAAATAAGAAAAAAAGTGGTAGTTGACCTAAAAGTTTTCCCTTAGTAAGCTATATTACCTGATATCTAAACTTCCCATTGTTGAACAATCACCTGACACGAAAGAGACGATAAGGGAACTAAATTTGGGGTGAAAAAAAAAATTAGTATAGGAAGAATTGAAAAACTAGGTTGGAACCCAACTATTGCAGGTCGACGGTGAAGGCATTGGACTTAGCATCAGTGATTCACTCGAGCTTCCATCATCCCGCTTCATCGTTTCTTGCTCCTGATTCTCATTGCAAACCTTACAAAAACACATGGCGCCAGCATCATCTAACTTAACAGAACTACCATTCTCCAATTTTTGGGCAGCTGAATCAGCAACCACAGCACCACAATGATGGCACATTCTAGTCTCCAAAGTCCAGCAATGTCACTCAAGAATAGCCTCTCCTACACCAAGCTAAGGCAAGACAACATCATCGTCAGTACAACAACTATTCCTGGAAACCACATTTAAGCGATTGTAAAACTAATCACTAATTACAATACACGATTCATTACAAGCCCTGAACCAAAAACCTCCAAAGATTGCATGCATAAACCAAAAAATTCCGAAGACTATCTAAATCCACAATCCAAACAAGAAAGCAGAAGAAATCCGATATGAATTGGGGAAGAAGAAGAAGAAGACTATCTAAATCAAAAGAAGAAGAAGAAATCAAAAAATTCCGAAGAAGAAGAAGAAGTTGAAAAAGAATGAAAAAAGACCTGAGTGTTAATGAGAAAGCAATGAACGGGGTGTGCTGTGAATAAAGCAAAGCAAAGCAAAGCAGAAGCATACAGAAATGGGTGTTGCTGGGCAATGGATCGTGGAGTTGAACCAAAATATGGATTATATTTTCAAACAAAAAATGGGGGAAAATTGTTCAAAAAATATATTATTTGGTGGGACCCACTCAACATCGACCATCAATGTCAACCTTCATTTATTTATCTATTTATTTATTTAAATGGAATAGTAGTGGCAGCATTTATTTTTTTATTTTTATTATTTGTTTATTGATTCTATAAAACACTATATTATTAAAAAAATAAAAGTAATAATCCGTAGAGTTGGATCATTATGCGGAGTTTTTTAGATTATCGAGAATGGTAAGTTTTAACATTTATTTTTTTATATTCTTAACCAAAAAACTGAAAATAATTTGAAGTAAAAAAAAATTTAGAGCTCCAAGTAAAAAAAAACTAGCTAAAAAACACACACGTCATCCACGTAAGTAGCCATTCAGACTTTCCTCAAGTAATAATTGTAGAGACTGCTATGCAATTTGGATGAGAATGTCCGTATGATGTAAAAATTACCAAAATGCCCATAGAATGAGATTTTGAGATGAATGTTGTTTTAATTGATTTCCACTATGCTAGAACACAGGATGAGATATTGATATTTGTACTTTAGATGATTGATGAATGTTATCTCTCCATTGAGCTTGCATGTGAATAAATAAATTATGTTTTTCATGTTTTAGGTGATCGGTAGGAATATCTCTGTAACAAAGCATGCATGAGTGAACCAAGTTAAGATTAGGGCATTTTAGCTAGAGTCGTTTCACAATGATCTAGGTTAATACATTTTCATTTGACTGAGCACCCTAGGATCATAAGTGGCGATCAGAGCTCTAAGCCTTAGTGCTCCCTAAATTTCATTAACTCCGAGAAGCTAGTCTTGAGCATCCTAAAAATGTGAGATAAGATTTAAACGGCCTAAACTCCCTAAAAACCTAGTAAACCTCAACGACAAGGATGATTAAGAAAGTTTAGCATGCCTAGTAATAGTGAGAATTGTGTCACTAGAGTCTCCAACTCCTATCTTCTCCAGTACGTCCTTTAGTGCTATTAACGACTGAGGTCAAAGTTTTAATGCCCTGCAAGCGGTAGGAATAAAGGAGCAGTACCAATGAGCTAGACCTAGGGTGGATAATATAGCACGTTAAGGCGACTAGGTGCCACTATTGTACGTGGAAACACTCAAGGGTCCTCTAAATAGACTCGTTGTACCGTAAATCCACCTTGAGAGGGGTGAGGGACCACATGGGTAAACTAAGTAGTTGACAAGCACATTGGATCGTTCCCCTAGACTTTGGTTGTATGGCTTTTCCTGTGGGAGAGTTGCTAGTTAACCTTACGCATGTGTTTAAACAAGATGTCATACCATCCTATGAGATAGGATGGAGTCATGTCTCACCCTAGGATACTTATAATTTATCATTGTGGCCATGCAAGCATACTAAATGATATGGAAGAAACTCAAGGGAAGACTCTGATACCAAATGATAAGGAATCAACCCAAGGAAAAACTCTAATACCAAATGATAAGGAATCAACACAAGGGCAAGCTCTGATACCAAATGATAAGAAATCACTACAAGGGAAGTAAGAATCAAATTATCTTGTTGATCGAATATCTCAAGGCAAGAACACTTGTTTGAGATTCGAATCATTCCAGAAGCAAGATCAATTATGTCTAGCTTGAATGATTCTAACATGCAATCTAAGCTACATAGAATTGCAAACGAAAGGTAAGAACGCTTAACCCTAATGATAAAGAATCACTCCAATGGAAAGTAAAATTCAGATTACCTTGTTGATCAAATATCTCAAAGCAAGAACACTTGCTTGAGATTCGAATCACTTCACAAGCAAGATTGATCATGTCAAGCTTGAATGATTCTACATGCAACTTAAACTACATAGAATTGCAAAGAAACTTAGCTATTGGCTAAAGAAAAGCACAAAGGCTCCTTTTACTACATTTTCCAAGTCTACTCGTAAAGACAACATACATGGCTTTATATACTGTCAAAATTAAAACCCTTAACCTTAGTATTCCAAGAGTTGTAACTTTCATATTTTATGACCATAATTAGCCACTATATATACTTTTATGGCCATAATAGCCCCTACATAAATAAGTTTTAGAAATACATTAAAGAAACACCATAACTCTAAGTTTCCATCATAAATTTGTAACCATGTAAGAATAAATGAAGCCCCACTTGAAGTATCTTGAAGTATTTGTTGCATAAATGAAGCTTGATTTTTCTTCACGTGACATTAATATTGCATGATTTAGATGCCTTAGTTCATATCACCAAGTATGAGAACAAAAAAGTAAGTTCACCCAAAGATGAGATTAGTCGTCCAAAAGATCGGTGGCACTAGAACCCAATGAACAACTTCTAAACCTTGATGGGTCGGTGACATACAAAAGAACCGCATTGAGTAATTTTACAGTAAGCTTTATGACCTCAAAAACACTTTTGGTAAAGGTTTGTTACATATTGTTGAAGATTGTTTTAAGGTAAGTGGTTCTGCTAATAAACCTTATGGTTCGGTTGGATAGGTGTGAATTGTTGTGATTTGTGTTGTATGTTGAAATGAATAAGATGGTTGTACATACATATATGTTGTGGATTGTAGATAGCTAGTTTAGAGTCCTCGTGCATGTGTGTGAATGACATGTAGATATGAAAATCATGAGATTGTGACAACTAGCTATTTAATTTCATGAGGCGCTTGGATGAATGCAGCTCACTTCTACTAACTGGGTGCCAATTTCCATCCGCTAGGGTAAAAGTTTATAGGACTTCCACTTATGCACCACCGAATAATTGATACAGCTCATATCATGATTTAATTGTCCACTTGACCTAGATTCAAATCATACCATGCATGTTATATGTTTTTTTTAGTTATGTGGGTATGCATGTCGTACTTCATCAAAGGGCTATTTACTAAGTATTTTTAATATTCCACATTTAAAAAAATAAAAACGACAAGAACGTACACGACATGTGATGAGTCGTTTCCAACCAACCCATGGAGTTTATTTTAACACGGTTTTTCGTTTATTTTAAATTGAGGTTACATTTTATTTTGTTTCACATGTTTTTACTAACACGTATGTCATAATGACTTTTAGAAAAGTCTCAGGTCGTTAGAATATAAATATTTTAATTTTATAAATACTTCCATAAAATATTTACATGGATAAATATGAAAAAAAAAATCATGATAAAATGACAGTAATTAATTTGCATTAACTAAAAAAAAAAGTTAATAATTTGAAACAAAAATTTGAAGAAGAGATTAGATTAAAATAAAAGTTTGTATATAATGTTTTATAGATTTATATTTGATAATATATTTAGAAAACAATTTAGAATTATTCAAAAGTTATTTGATAATATGTCTATAAACCGTAAAAATAATTATAATTATCAACTAAATATTAAATTAATTGTCAACGATGGTTAATTAACTCATAAACAAGTTTTATATTATTTAAAATAAAAAAAGGGGGTGCACGTGGAATTTCGTACAACCAAACAGGCGTAAACGTGGCGACATATTAGAGAAGCTCCGTAGTTGCAGGGAAGTTGGGAGTTGGTGGAGCTTTGTGATTGGCTGTGATACAGTTACTTGTACCACATCGGAACTCCCATGCAATTATTGATTCACCAATTTGGAATTTTCCTTAGTTTTTGAAAGGAAAATATCTTTTGTTTATTGCTATTTTCATTTTCAATACGTTTGAGTGTTCAAAAAAATTTAATAACTCGGAAATTTTGATCAAACTCCTTCGTCAATAATTGTTATTCGAATAATTGGGTCGGATTTAACAAATGTTTTAATCCGACTCGATCTAACTTAATAATGATTTAACAATTATGTGACCAAACGTATGAACTTCTTCTACCCGTAATTGATTGATTAGTTTTGAAAATGATATCAATCACTCATTCGATTAATCATGTTGATTATGGACTTATTCTAACTATGGATATTATATAAAAACATGAGAACGATTATCTTGATCAATCTTAAACGTGGAAATTGTTGAAGTGGCCATCATAGAGAGGCTCGTTCTTAGTAAGGAGATCAGATTGGAGAGATGATTTTCGAGTCAGGTGCAAGAAAACTATCGAGAGAAAAAAGATCTAAATGAAATCATCGCATATGTTAGTTTTTACGAGGTTCAATCAATCATATCATATCATATGTTTTAATAAAAACATAGCTTTAATTTATTAATGAATTTAGTTTTTCAAACCATGCATAACGTGTAGCTTAAAATGACGATTTTAATACATTTTGAATTGCTAAAATCAAACATGAAACGAAAATGTTACGACTAGAAGAAGAATGAAATGAATCTATGTGGCTATGACGTAGACAAGTAGAATTGTGACACAAGACACCGTGTTTTAGTGGTTGGAGCCCTCGCTCTATAGATTTTATTTATATCTCGTCCCTTTGTTTATTTGACATAAATTTAGGTTATTTTGTATCTTATTTAAGGGTAGACTCTTACTTTTCCTGAAAAAAAATATAACGTGGTTCAAATATTTAAAAATATTCGGTAAGTGACCATACTATTGGCGTTGAAAAATGCAATCACCAACATAGTTTATGTTGAGACTTACTTTTTGTGACTATTGCTTCAGCTTTATTTTCTTCTCTAGTTAGGCTTGGATGCATAATATTTCTCTATGCATGGTTCACGCACGAGCACATGAACCCACTAGGCGAGCTCGTATACGTAACCCTAAGATGTCTACGGGTTAGCATATGCTCGTACTATGGAAAACCAATGGAAAAAAAGAAATGTGTAT